AAATTCCTTTTAGACTACGGGATAACTCTCTATCAAACGGTATCGAAAAATATTTAGACGTATCTTTCTCCACTTGAAAAGTCGAATTTTCAGAAATCATTAATTTCAGAAAACGTAGGTATAGGTTAATGTATTCAGAGATGAGATATTCTGTTCTGTTGTTTCCCCTTTTTTTCCTAGAGAATCTACATTCGCCGTTGTTTCTTACTATCAAAGAATTATACTTCAGTCTACTGATGTGTTCATTTAGGAGACCTGTGAAGACCAGTAGCAGAAAAACACCGTGACAATATGAAGATAATTCTTACCTAATTCAAAGAAAATCTTTGATTTTTCTCGGTCGTAAGCCCTATGAAAGGTCTTATACGAGTCTTATAAATTCTTACTTCGACTTTCTGATGCTCATATATTTATATCTCCAAACGATATCCCCTAAATATCCTGATATTAATGATGTCTTTATCGTTTAGGCTTTTACTTCTTCTTTGAGATTCCTAGTGCTTGTTATATTTGCTCCTAGATTCCTTTGTTTGCATTTCATTTATACAACAAAAATTCGAGTAAACAATCATTTTAAACTGTCCAAATTTAATCCTAATTTCATTTAAACGATAACAACTTTCTTGCTTCTAAATCTTTTGCCGATAATCGTTGCCTACTTCAGAAGGCTTTTAATTTCATTGATCGATTACATCCAGCCTGTGACATCTAATTACCACTAATTAATTTTAAACAAAGAAACTAATTAACACGGTGTCGTAAAATCGGTTGTTTTTAATTTAAGAATGTCATTAGAACGACGCGGCTGTTAATGGTAATGGCAAATAAAACGTGGATTTGCTGTCGAAATAGTTGACTGATTCTATTATTTAAAGAGTTTGGAACATTGTTACACGATTAACACGTTTTTTGTTTAGAAATTAAACATTTTTCAATCGAATTAACAAGAATTATTGAGCGAGAAACAACACGTTTATTTTTGAATGGCCATAAATCATAAATAGAATTTATATTATATAAGAAGTGTGAAGAGGCAAAGTTTACAGAATTAAAAAATATAAATTCTGTAAACGTTGAAAGAGGTGTGTCTTTCGCGGACGAATATGATAGGTAGATATTATTTATCACATGAACGAATAAGAAATACTAAAAGTAGTTCAAAACCAGTTCAAAATTTGCATGGAATCTCCAACTACAATGCACCACCCGGTATACAGGGTGTCCCAGGCTGAACGTACATTAGAAGATTCTAGAGAACTACAACATCTAGCTCTAAATTTTTTTGATTAAAAATATTTTTAATATGGCGGCACTTCCGGAAATACCGGAAGTTGACAGGAACATTCTTATTTTAAAGGGGTGCCCCCATTTTTTATTACATACTTAGATTATTTGTAAAATTTTATTAATTTTAATATTAAACACTATATCTAACACTAACCGTTTTTGAGAAAAAAAATATTTAAATTTTTCTGACAGATGGAAATAAATTGTCTGACCGTTTGACACTTAATGTCAAAGGAAGCTAGACAAAATCAAGTTTTAAAAAATCTTAAATTTACAGAGAATTTAAGTATGTAACAAAAAATGGGGGCACCCGTTTAAAATAAGGAAGTTGCTGTCAACCTCCGGTATTTCCGGAAGTGCCGCCATATTGAAAATAATTTTAATCGATAGATCTCGTTGTAAAACAATGATGTGCAAAAAATCTCCGATCTAGTTAATGTGGTTCTCTAGAAACTTCTAATTCGCGCTCACCCTGTACAGATTAGCATACATATTAGCCTAAACGATTCTATATCTATCTAATTTTTAATTCAGTTAACTTTTACAAAAACAACTTGCAGATATTTTCATTCTTTTCGTGTAAACCTTAGTGACAAATTTCCTAGAAAACTGAAAGCACTAATGATTTGTCTCTAGATTAAAAGGATAAAGAAGCACGTATTTGTTTTAGGAATTTTCATATTTGTTTTTCGTATTTCCCTAAACACACTCCGTTGGTACTGTACAACAAGCCCATGTTTGAACTATCCATTGTCAGGTGGATTCCTATTTCAGAAGCTGTTCTAATTCGAATTTAAATAGAGTATAGTGACGATCAATTAGAATAATGGGATTATTTCCTTGTTTTTTTCTGTGTCCATGCGTTTTGACCTACTTAATATTTATTGATCTCAAATTTTTCTTATAAAAAACGAAATAAGGTTTGGTTTAATACATGTTTATAACTGACTTATTAACACTAAGTAATGAAATATTAAGATTTTTAACAGGGCAGCGAAAATTAATGAATAAAGGATGACAAAACTACGGAGTCCTTTTGAGAAATTTTGAAGATTGAATGAAGAACAAAAACAAAAAGATTGAAGACTTCTTTTGGCCGTTTCTGGATGTTAGTATGTCTTGTTGAAAAACATTTTCACTGGTGAAATAAAAGAAGTGGGTTTCCATTTGAAAAAAGTGGTTTAAGACAATTTTTTAATCGCTCAATTCCATCACAGCTACGGTCAATATTATATGACATTCGAACAGTTTAACGAATTTAATTTTTGAAATAGAATAGCCACATGTCTTCTCTTTATGCCACAGTGGCTGTGGTAATCACTAAATTTGTCGTTAAGGCTATACCGATTTTTTGACAGGTTTTTTATTTCCTCCAAAAATTTTAAATATTTTTTTTCTCAAAAACGGTTAATGTTAAGTATAGATTGTTTGATAATAAAATTTATAAAATATTACAGAAAATTTGAGTATGTAATAAAAAATGGGGATACCCCTTTAAACTAAGAAAGTTGCTTTAAAATAGGAATGTTATACACGGTGGCTCATCGAAAACGTTCCGCAAGGCATAACGGCCAGGGTAATTTTTTTTCAGAAAATTCAAAAACACGTCAATTTTTTTTGTGAGAGGGACAACTTTTGCCCCAAAAATGATTGCAAAATCTTCAACCCTCTAAGCGGGGGTGTCATTCCCCAACTTGTTTCAAATGGGAAGGGGGGTCAAGTGGCGCCGCAATGAAAAGAGCTTTCTATTCTCTATATTTCCCCGCCTTGTTTATTTATAATAAAGTTAATTTATACATTTATCAGAGTAAACGATAAGGGTAAATTCCTTCGACCAATTTGCTGTTTTTTCTTATTATTTCTAGATGTTAACGCATTTTTCACAGGTGCTGTAGTTGCTAGATAGCTGTTCAGTGACTTATGCGTTGAAGTTCTTTTCAAAATTATTTCAGAAAAAGCAGTATAGACTTATATATACAGCATCACTTGCAGAAAAAGTGGAAATAATCGAACTTTACTTTAAAAATAATGAATGTGGCAATCGGGTTTCTCAGATATTCAATGATCGCCATCCTGACAAACACCTTTATGGCAAAATTGTTCGCGAGTTAGTAGCAAAATTTCGCTAAACTGGTTCCGTTCCGGAAAATCCTGTAGTAAATGAAGCTATGGAGGTATTCGTATTGAGCCAAGTTGCCATGGATAGTACCCTGAGTACAAGAAAATTAGCCAATGAGACCGGCGTGAATCGTACAAATGTCCAAAGGATATTAAAAAAACACAAATTCCACCCGTACAAAATTCAGTTGGTACAAGAACTCAACGAAGACAATTTTAATCGTCGCTTGCAATTTTGTGAAACTATGAGTGAACGAGTGGCGAATGATAATAATTTCCTATTTAATGTGTGTTTTTCGGATGAGTGTACTTTCTTTTTGAACGAAGTAGTTTATCGGCACAACTGTCGGTACTGGGCTGAGGACAACCCCAGGGTTTTTCACGACGTGCACACACAAAATCCTCAGAAATTGAACGTGCGGGCTGGTATTTTTGGAAATTCTATTGTGGGTCAGTTTAACGATATTGAGAACTTCAGCATTGGCGAAGTTAGCTCTCTGATTTTGGGGGGGCTTAAGCCCCGGTATCTTTTGATCATAACATTAGGTAAGATTAGGATGAAAACTCAGTATTTAATACTAAATGCTTTAGTGGTAATATCGAATAAACATGGACTAAACTGAACTAAGTATAACTGATATATACATTTTAATAATAAACATACAGATATTAAATATGACTAAAAAATAAAATAAGAAACACCCAGACCTTCGCATTAAAATATATACATCACAATATCACAATATATTGTTTTCGCAGACTTATTTCTAGGTTAAACTTTAAACTATCGAGTGACATATTAACACTGACAGACCAGGGACCGACTGTAATCGAGCTTGTATTGCATAGAGCGTCAAACATTTTGGGAGGGCTAATTCTACATTTGGGGGGGCTAAGCCCCCCCAAGCCCCCCCATATCTTCGCCACTGGAATTTCAACGCGCAAGTCACAGAACAGCTATCTAGCAACTACCGCACCTGATCGTTAAACCTTGTGGCAAGTGAAAAAATGCGTAAACATCTAGAAATAATAAGAAAAAAACTCAAATTGGTCGAAGGAATTTATCCTTACCATTTACTCGTCATAAATAAACTTTTCAAATTTCAATCCTTCATATTTTCTCAATGACTCGACCGATTTTCAAAAACGAGGCGGGGAAATATAGAGAATAGAAAGCTCTTTTCATTGCGGCGCCACTTGACCCCCTTCCCATTTGAAAAAAGTTGGGGGATGACACCCCCGCTCAGAGGGTTGAAGATTTTGCAATCATTTTTGGGGCAAAAGTTGTCCCCCTCACAAACAAAATTGACGTGTTTCTGGATGTTTTGAAAGAAAGAATACCCTGGCCGTTATGTCTTGCGGAACGTTTTAGATGGGCCATTCTGTTATATTACGTATACACATTTCTCTCCAATATAATATTCTTCATTATACATTTCATTGGCAAGTGTTGTGCTACATCACTGTAGTTGGGAAATCATAAAAAAATAAATCGATGATAGTTGTTTCTCAATTTTCTAACTATATGTTTTTTAACAGACATTTCTCTTTTTAGACTATTTAACTACCCCCTTCTTCTTTCTTTACACTTCCAGATTCATCTTCTCTACCAATCGCATTGCACGATGAAAACAGGGGGCTAACCATCCCGGGACATTTCCTCCCCATCCAAGCCAGCAACAGCAGCAGAGCAGGAGTAGCAGCCGCCCCCGGAAATGCTGTCGGCCGGCATGGGGTACGGGGCAGCCTCCGCCGCCCCCGTGACCGCCGCCACGCCCCCCTATTCGCCACCCCCTACAGCTAGGCACAGTCCCTTGCCCAGTTTCGGGTTCACGCAGGAGCAGGTAGCCTGCGTGTGCGAGGTAAGTCTATACAGTGGGGAAAGAGACTAAATGTTGCGGGGTAAAATAATGTCATTATACTGTATTTTAAATAAAAGTCAATTTTGAAGACATTTTTTCACTAAGCTAGAGGTTTCCAAACTTTTCTTTCACAAGAACAATATTAGACGATGCACCAAATATGTTTTTATTGCTATAGATATACAGAAGAGATGATACAACTGTCGATCTACTGATGATGCCAGTGTATTTACGTCCAGTGTAAAAGTAAAAGTGTTTTGGTGTATTGTGGTGATTTAGTGTTTTATTTTGCAGACCTTTTCATGTTAAAAGGCGTATGTGAAGTTCTACTTCGAAAAGCAGTCACAATCGTTTCTTTCATATTGTCGACAATAGTTGGTCGAGTTTTGTAAACACTGTCTTTAACATACCCCAATAAAAAAAGTCAAGACTAAATAAATTCGGAACATTTAAGTATTCTATTAAATGGGTGAATGCACACTGCAGTCACCAACTAATAGAATCATTCTATCAATTTTCTCTGATGTAGGATAACTTTCTATTTTTGGCAAATTTCTGAGAATTTTTTTTATTTTAACTGACGCAAAATGATAACTTGTAGTTAAAGTTGAACTAATATCACAGCTATGTTGAAGTAACGTCAGACGTATCACAGCCACCTAGATTTTATCAAATAATAAAGATCTACTGACACTAAATCATAAAAATGAAAATATCTAGGAAAATCTTTGTTTGAGGGGTAGGCAACCTTAATAGTATTTTGAAAAGACATGAATTTCCCCTCATTGAATATAGAAATAATATACTGGATGTGTTATTTAAAATAATACTGTAATTTGCTTTTAAAGGTGACCAATGCTCAATATTAATTTTGTCTCACCCTGTATCACTTTTTCGGCCAAGTTTTAATTTGATTTAAAGTACAATAGTTAATTTAATTACATATTAGGCTATACCGGGTAAATTCCAATTTAGGTAGCTTTTATTGTAATTTAAAAATTGTTCTTTATTTCTAGAAAATGTTAAATATGTCAAAAACCTTACATTTTAGTCATATACTTCTCTTATAAAACTCGCCTTTATTTTTTTCCCAGAATCCGAAAATCAATTAATATATAGGGTGTTTTATTACAAAAAATACAACTTTGATATGTAACTTTTTCTGGGGACACCCTGTAGAACTCTTTATATTTTTCAAAAGTGCTCTGAATTAACCTACATATTCTCACAAAATTTCAATACAAACTGTCGTTCTCCTTGGAGCCTCTACGGCGTATGAGAGGCGCCACCCTGTATATATCAAAAAGGTGATGAAACTGTTTCGCAATGTTTCTCAGCAGAGATTCGATTTTGTGTCTAAAAATGCTACTTGGGGTTATTTCTTAGCTTCAATCTACTGAGGTGTTCGTTGAGGAGACAGTGCATGTCCTGTTAAAAAGTGTAGTAAATCAATCGGTAATGAAATTCTCTTAGAATTGGCTAATTATATAGGTATCTTTTTAATACTGATATTATTATTGTGTTTACAGAATTAAATAATAATTCTGTAAACTTTGCTGTAGTAGAACTAAAGTAATAGTGGTAGTATCACAAAATAAGAAATAATACCAATAATACCAGCTTATATTCAAAACCTTTCGATTTTATTTTCGTTTCGATATGTATGTGTTATGGCAGCGTTTCCTGTCCTGTTGTTTTTGTTTTTCTTTCGGGTAATCCGATCCCTCCGAGCACTTGTGCCTGTGTGAGTGATGTACGAGGAAGCCCGAATTACTCATACAGACGTACGGGGAGTAGAAAGAATGCCAAGTCGAATCGAAGCAGGCAGTAAAGATAGCGATGGCTGTTTTGAAAGGCGTTAAATTTACGTTTTATTATTAGTGCTGAATTTGTTTGAATTTGTTCGTTTTATTGTACACGTTTCTCAGATCTTTTCGTTTGTTATTGAGATCGTTAAATTTGTTAAATCGACTTAGTACTTACTCACTTCGAGTTTGAATATGTAGAAAAGTATGTGGCGGATTTATCTCTCCAAAAAAATCCTATATAGGTATTTAGCAACTGCAAGAAAATCTACAAAATAAAATAATTATTTTTTTGTAAACACTGCTGCGTTAATCCAACGAAAATTTAGAAAAGATCGTATATGATTGTAAGTAAATATAATTAAACAGATAAAAAACTCAATAAGGTGAATCATGTACAGGGTGGGCCAAATTGCTTTTAAAGGGAAACATTCTTTTCTATAGGAGATAGACGAAAACTAATATGGGTGTTTGGAGCTCAATTTTTATCAAAAACATGATGGTGAAAACCGCACATCGATATCTGTTACTGTTTCGGAGTTAAGGGGTGTTTTTCAAAAATATGCATTTTTAACAAATCGCTATAACTTTTTTGCTATGGAAAATTTTGTATTTTTATGAAAAGCACCTTTTTAAGTAGAATTTAATGGTTTAAGAATAGTTTTTTTTAATTAATAATTTAAGAATTATCAACAGAAAATTTGATTTTTTATATGGGACACCCTGTATATTTTTAATTTATTAAAAATAATTTAAAGTAACCTTTCCAAAAATATGACACACTTAATATTTTGCTGAATTTCTTTTCGAGATATAGAGTTTATAAAAATTCGTCCACTTTGAATTTTGAATAAGTACTTGGCTTTGAACGGCGCCGGCTGTAATGCAAAAAAATTTCTAGCTGTGAGCAGCAATTATAACGAAAATAATATTTACAATGAGAGATGCAGAATTTTAGAACAATTTAAACTATATTTAACAACATCAACACATTTAAACTAAATCTAATAACAATAAAAATAAATACCAAACCAAGACATGAGATTTTGCTACAGGTGTTCGACATATCCACCGTCTTCTGTTATGGACAGACCGGACCGTTTTTAGACATTTCTTGCGGAATTCATTCACTCTGTGGGGGTGAAAGATACCCTCGCCTAGCCGCTAAGTACTTCTAATTCTTGTCTAGATTATTGGGACCATTTAAAAATAAGAATCTTTATTCTTCCGCAAAGATAAAAATCCACAGGTACTAAGTCCGGCGGGCTCGGCGGCCAACGGCTGGGATCTTGGTTAGCCATTCAATTATTCTTGAAATTGGCTGCAAAAATTTGCTGATAACTTCGCAAACTCTTAACTTGGCGCCCCCTACAAATAGGAGTCATATTGACATCAAAATCAAATTCCACATGTCAAAAAACTCCCAGACACCAATTTTCATCCAAATATTGACGTTACTTCAGAAATTATTTCGAAAAAATCGAAATAAAAATGAAACTTCTACACCCTGTATCTCCGAAACTAAGCATTTTAGGACATACGTTTATACGAACTTTTTTCCTTATTTTTATCTGCAGAATATGCTGCCGAAGTTTCCGGAATATAGTTCGAACCACCCTGTACATTGCTACAACAAAACCTGATTTTTTTTATTAAACTAATAATAATTTTGTAACAAAACTTTCTGGTCGATTTTTTTCTGTGCAGTGCAGATTCTGTGGGAAAAATGGGGAAACAGCAGAACTTAGTGCGCCAAAACGACAACCGTTCATGCCATGAACTAGCCATGCCATGCTTCGAACTAGCCTTTCTTTATCCGTCAAAAATATTGGCTTTTGTCAAAGCCCTGAGACCCTTGAGAATTTTTTTTATTTTTTGCAGACCGGTATAATTATAACACTTTTTTTCTAATTATTAATATCATTAATATCCCATTTACTCAAAAATAGTAGTTTTCTGTATAAAAGAATAGTTAATACCAAATAAGTTTACTGCGCGAAAAGAACACCCACGGGTGTTTCTGATGATGACGACGGTAACACGAGCCGAAACGTTCTTTCTCGGTTGGCAAGAACTCGTAAAAGTACCAGCCGACAGGTGATAAATGTACCACCGCCGACCACGATGGTCCGTCCCGTGGACTGTGGGTGACACGTAACGCTGACTATGACAGAACGGCCACTTTTTTTTTACTTGTTCGTAATATTTATTTCATTTTAACGCTGATATGATGTCGGAATTTTTTTATTTTACATTTGCAGAATTAATGTGAAGGTTATTTCTTAGAATTAAAGCCAAAAATTCAAATATATTACCACCGAATATTGTATATTGTATTGTATATAATTGTATACCGAACGGCTCTAGTATAGCAAGCTGTACCTTGCTACTCCCAAGGCGTTAAACGCTATATACGGGAGCTATTATTATTATTATATAATATTAAATTTAATCCTTTTACTGACACCGAATTTAAAATATCCCGGGAGGCAAAAAGTGTCAAAAGGAAGGAATTGCAAATGTATACTCTAAAAAGAAAAGAAACCTCTAAGGCACTCAAATACGAAGAATTCAAATTGATGGTAGGGAATTTTCCAATGAAAAGAATGTCCCAATGGTTTGCGAAAAAAAATATTTTGTGTATTATCCTACGAATTGGCATGGCGAGGAGGAGAGGGAGTGGAAAATGTTTTGTTTCCTATTTTAAAGATGATATTGATAATATAGGACAACCCACCGGTCGCATTGAATACAACCCGATATTCCGAGAATTCTGAGAGAGGCAAACGATAAAAGTTTGAAGAAGAAGAAGAAGGATTTTATATAAGCCGCATCAGCAACTGGGCCATTTAGCGGCATAGATCAAATTAAAGTTAAAATAAACTATATTAATGAACCCAAACCCGATGCCCTAATAAATTGGAACAAAGAATGTAGGTTATTAGCATCAAGACGGGAACCAGATCGCCATTCAGACAAAATGATTGTCTTAAGTTATTGAAGGAGGGACTAATTAGGAGGTGGTACACTATTAATTGGTTGCCACAATGAGAGCAGTTAGGCGGGGGGTCGCCTTTTAAAAGGAAAGAATGGGTGAAATAGCAGTGACCCAACCTGAGCCGATTCCAAATGACTTCCTCACTTCTGGACAGTGACCGAGCTACAGAAACTTGAAAGAATTGAGGTTTACATTCA